TTAACCTGCAAAAAAATGTCATATAAAAAACTAATGTTTATTAATCATTAAATTAATAGAAGCAGTTTTTATTTCAAAATGTAATGGTGTGTATAGTTAAATAAAAGAAGAAACTATGTAGATACTTTCTATCAATATTGTAACGAAAAATAAATGACATAGATGGTTTATTTATTTCGTTACTGCTGCAGCATTTATTTTATTGTGATCACACTGACGAACTGGAAGAGTAGCGTTATCGCTATTCTCAGTGCACAATGTTAACTACACTACTACATTATCCAGTTGTGTCTTTCTTTTCTTTTACACATCTTTATATACTAGTTACTTTTGATTACTTGGTTAAACAACAGAAGAGAAGATACAAATATACGTATAGAATGTTCGAGGTTATACAAGAGAAAATGAGAAAGATATTACAAGGCCAAACAAGAACATTCCAAATTACACCAGAGAAAGCAAGAAAGGTATTACAACATCAAACAAGAACGTTCCAGATTACACAAGAGAAAGCGAGGAAGATTTTACGACGCCAAACAAGAACAAGAGTTCATCAGCTAAGAAGGTTATATCACGCAAGAGTTATATTATGCAAGGGTGACATCTAAAATTGATGACATCGTACAAGGATAATATGTTGTAAGCGAATTATGCCTATCGGAACAAATATTAAAATCATAGAAACTATGTATGAAACTTACGCTGTTATTGCTACAAGAGAAACATGTCTTTATTCGAATCCTTCAATTATCGGTAGATTCTGTACGTCGGGTCTTTCATGCATGCATATCAAAGTTTTTAATTATCTGAGATTTTTTGAAGATTCAAAGTATGACTCTGTATTTACTGTAAAAACAATGGTAAATATAATTACCCAGGAAAGCACCAATATCGACAACAATAAGTGATGGATCTTGCTTGCATTTTTTCACAAGTTCGAGACTATTAATAACAGTTGCTTGGGCTTGATCACCATCTGCATAAGGTTTTCGTCCATCAATAGTTGCCATTTTGAAGGTTGGAACACGATCGTTCATTTCTATCATTTTGTATCGCGATGGTGGTAATGTAAAAGATATGAATGCTAATGATGATGATGATGAAGGTGAGGATACCATCGTCAAATAATGATAGGTGACCAATCCAATCATAAGCATGAATGGGACCCAAATTATTCGTAAATTTCGCATGTCACACTGAATAAATGAAAATGTGTTAGGCAAAATTCATATCTTTTATGCGTAAAAGTAGTGACATGTTTTTTTCCTTTCTAAGCATAAGTTATTATAAGAAGTACTTTCTTTTTTAATTATATATTTAACTGATTCATTGCTGCTCATATTGATTTAAATACATGAATCAATAAATCAATTCACTTCATCATCGGAAAATAACTAGATCATGAATAGAACTGCTATATCCAAGCAGACAAACAAAAATGAAAAAACGCGTGAAAACTCTTGAGACTTCTCAATCGTTTCATCCCATGTAAAAATAAAAAGGTATTTAATGAAATGATTCTTAAAATTAACGCCTAAAACTACTTTAAAAGACAAATTAACTAAATTTCACGAAGAAAATTTCATGAACTTTCGCTATATTCCGAAAACTCGTGTAAACGCATTAGATTTTTCACGCTTTTTCACGCGTGATTGTCGTTTTAACTGTAACTAATTCATTATATATCGTTAAACGTTGCATTCATTTTCACGCATTAAGAAGTCTAACGATATTTCTTGAGTTTTTATTTTATTTTTAACCAATCTTACCATGTTAAATATCGTTAAACTTGGTATTCATTTTCATGCGTTAAACATATTAACGCGTTTTCATGAATTTCTGTATTTTTCATGGAACTTAACTGATTGATTCTCGTTAAATCAAGTAACTGTTTTCATCAGTGAAATATTTTAACGAGTTTTCATGAAAATTTTAATTTTTAACGAATGTCATTTAGTTATCCATCATTCAATTTACTAATCGTTTTCATCCGTACAATATTCATAATTTTTTGTGTGACATATTTGTTTATGCACATTACATAAAAATCATCTTGAAAGACTTATATTTACGAAATATCAAGTGTGTCTGTGAATTATATCAATCCAGATATCAAAAGCTTTTTATCAGATTAAGCAGAACGCTCCTTTAGAGAAATCTTAGCTTTGTATTAATCGTTAGTAAAATCACTTGAATTAATCTTAGATAAAGATAATCCTCTTTCATTTTTCTTCTTTAAAATTTTAGTATGGGTTTTATGTCTAAAGGAATGTAATTTTATACTTCGTACATCATCATTTCTGCGCCACATGGTAAAAAAAGTTTAGCGAAATAAGTGCTCCAGTTAAGGTCAAAAGTTGCCTTAAGAGGCAAATTAATGAAGTTTCACGAAGAAAACTTTCACGAACTTTTGCTAGATTTGGAAAATTCGTTTTAACGCATTAGATTTTTCACGTTTTTTCACGCGCGATTGTCATTGTAATGGTAACTAACTCATTATATCTCGTTAGATACTGCATTCGTTTTCACATGTGTGATATTTTAACTTTCTTACTCGAGCTACATATCACCTACATAAGTGTGTACAAAATTCTTCAATATCTCGCGATCGTTCATATAGAAGATCGCAGTCTGTTACAACATGTTTTATCAGTAGTGCGCGATGCAGCAGCGGAGCCAGGATTTGGGGTGGAGGCTATCGGTCCCGTTTACATCCCAGTAACACGATCTGATGATGAAAATACTGACAGGCGATAGCCCGATCAACTTTAAAGTCATTGAGCCAAGGCTGTATAAAATATGAATTTCCCGTTCTCTAATTTCATAATTGTTAAGAGTAGTATCTCATCGCAGACCACACATGGAATAACAAAATGGAAAAAGATTGTGACTTTCATGTGAAAAATATGGAAAAATGTCATGTTTCATGATGAAAGGGATATAATGATGCATGTATTTCATTTTCATTGATTAAAACGAAAATTTTCACCAATGTCATTCTATGATTTTGATTTCTATCCAGAGATGGGCAGCTCCGGTCTTTCCTCGCTCCAGCTCAGCTCTAGCTCCAAACATTTTCTAGCTGCTCCGCTCCGGCTTCACTCCAACCAGAGTATCTTCCGCTCTAGCCCAGCTCCGCTTCAACAGAAATAAAAAGTCATTATTTCATTAGAAAACTTTGGTTTTCTTGGCTCCTTTGCAGATCACTTTTTGTTTTCATTAATAACACTCAGTTTCCGTAGTAATAGATGCAAATGGAAAAGGAAAAAGCACAGCTTTTAATATTTGTCTGACATTTTCTCGTTCCAGCTCAGCTCCAGCTTCAGACATCCACTCAGTCGCTCCACTCTGACTCCGCTCCCGGAGCGGAGCTAGCTCTGTGGAGCGGTCGCTCCGAAGTCGGAGCTGCCCATCTCTGTTTCTAAGGCAAGAACCACAGTTCGGCTTTTCATCACTATCTATAGTCGGCATTGCTCTATATTTTTATACAGTCAACAACGAATTCTCTTACTTTCCGTGTTGGACACATGGCTAACTCTCAAGATGACCACTATCTAACCTAGATAAAATAGAAATATTCAAGTGTAATATTGTGGTTAGAGAGATCATCATCTCCATTATAAAACAACAGAAGACTGAAATGGCTAACTATTTTCATTCAAAAAATATCACAATTTTATTGGAGATCGTACATCATAGGTTTTCATAATTTGAAGGTATAAGAAATCTTTGTAAACATTATATTACAATTGGAAATAGATTTTTATTTCAGTCGGACGGAAATCATCATCAAAGCTTACTATGTGTTCAATAAGAAAAGCAACACAACTTTCTGTCGATTGTAGACAATGTTGGAAAGCCATAAACTATTTAGTTCTTGCTATTTTACAGTTATTCAAAAACCGCCTGCTGTAATACACATTCACTTCAATGATTTTCGAATTCAAATCAGACTTTTACCCGAAAAATATTTCACACCGGCTAAAAACGTTATTGCAATCAAGAAAATAAAAGAAAAAGGATGCCTAGTTTTGTGATTGCTGTCATAATGAATTGAACGAGATAAAATGCTTGGCCTTCTCACTTAACCAGAAAAACTAGATAGATTTATGAAAACGACCTTTGAGCATTGCTATGAGCACAATCCAAGCCGCCACCATCAAACGGCTTCTGAGGTAAAATCGATGTAACATCTTGTACACACTTACGATGGAAGGGTACCAAGTGTCACGCACCATTTTGAATTGGATCTATACCAGTTAGTAGAGCTCGATTAGACTACATGAAGCCTAGAAAGGTTCGTCTCCATATGCTGTCCTTTTCGAGTTATGACCGTTTTACTAAATTTTCTACCTATAGCAAGGTATATACGAAAAAATCAAATTATGCGATTTTGATCCGAAATTTTGCCCATTGATAGGTTTCCTGATCTTTAGAATCTCTCAAAAATTTCAGCCCAAAAGAATGCTTCTCTCTTGAGATATCAAATGTTGAAGATACTCGCTTTTCTAACCTTTTCTCGTGACACATGACCATTTATTGGATACCCAATATTTACAAAAGAAAACGTTCTTTTGGCCTGAAATGTTTTTGACATTCTAAGGATTACTAGACTTATCGATGGGCAAGATTTTAGGTCGAAATCTCGTGGTTCGATTTTCACATATCTACCTTGATATAGGTCGAAAATTCATTAAAACAGTCATAACTCGAAAACGACAGCATATGGGAACGAATCCTTTTAGATTTCATCTAGTCTCATTGAGCTCTATTAACTGGTATAGATCGGATTCAAAACGGCATTTCACAGTTGGGACCTTTCCTCATTAATTTTTAACACTGAACCTGAAAATAATATATTCAGAAGACAGCAAGAAGTGCGGTACAAAAAATTTTGCACGTTTCGAAAAAAAAACGTGTTTTTTAAGAAAGATAACACCTTCCAAGTTTTTGATTTCTTCCAACCTGAAAAGAGCATCCAATAATGTTAAGAACTAGTTTTTCATGATCAGCAACTCACGCTCTATCAAACCATGCGTAAAAAAGGCGAGAACAAATTTTTACTTGAAGTTTGAATTGCCTGCACATTTTTAACCTACTTACTTATGTGCCAGTCTATATATATATATATGTCTTCCTACTATATAAAAGTTTGTTTTTCTCATCCATCTATGCATCTATCTGTTTGTCAAAGCAAAAAGAATGCCTTGAAAAAAATCTTTCGTAATGTTAGAAGAAGAGAATACATAACGTAGAAGACTCTGATTGAGAGAAGAAAAGTAAGCAATTAATGAGTGTGACAAACGAAATTGAATATCGTGCAAATATAAAGATGAAGCTTAAGGCTTATAGCACTGCTCACAAAGTAAGAATGAGTTACGTTAATCGTTAAAAAGAAAATGTGAAAAAGTATTAAATTTCATGTTTGTTATGAACTTTTCATTCTAGCTCAGAAAGAAAGAAATGCAGATGTGAGAAAAAAAGAAGAGAAATAAAATGTCAGCATACGAATATTGTCTTCAAAATGTCTTCTCTTTCTCCTCGATTTCATACCCGACTATCATCAAGATGAATACAAGAGAAGACGGAATAAAGCATCTAGACTGCTTTATACAGCTGAGAAAAATTCCATGATTGTGAATCTGAATGAAAGAATAAATTGGAGAAAGATTGAATATAACAAAATAGGGCAAATTGTACATCTCACACATGTTATCATTATTATCAGAAACTCGATGGATGAAGATGAAACATGAAACAAGGTATTTCTTCACTTTAACGATATCCTTTATTAACTGTTCAATAAGCGAATATATTTTTCGTTATCATTCTTTCTTTTACAAATAAATGTCTAATTAATAATCTGCTTTTTATTCATAGTCTAGATAAAATCAGTGTTTTTGCATTTTGTGGAATTCACGTATATTTTCGAAGAAAATAATAGTGAGTGAAAGTTTAAATTGAGGTTTTGAGGCTTCTTCCTCCTCTATATTCCGCCCCCCGCCTCCCCACCACAGACTTTAGCAGCCGAGAACAACAGCGTCAGATTCCTCTCCTAAACTTCATGATCAACGGAAAAATGGACTGAACGGTATTAATGATAATACTGAAACTATTTTAGAGAATTCTAGAATATTCAAAAACCTTCATCGAACTGAATGTAGGAATATGTTTATGAATGTTCGAAATAGTTCAGTTTTTGACTTTTTTGTAGGCTAAAATTTATATTCAAGATGTCAAGAATGATATTTTATGCAGGATGTAGATACATTTTACTTATCACAATGAAGGAATTGTTTTTTTCGGTATGAATTGAATCAAATCGAGACTTTGTTATTCGTTTCGATCTTTGGTCTGTATTCGAAGATCGCAAAAATATATAATTTTAAAAATATGCAATCCGATGCTTCCTTTAGGATCGCATATCACCCTATAGCATTGTATATGCAGTCATCCAAGATACACACAATCAAATATGACTTTCTACTATGTATCTTAAATCCAAAATCTTGTTATTAAAAATAAAGAATTCTTGATACCTGATTTTGTAGCTTGAGACTGAACAAACCTATGTATAAAAGAGTTGAAGAATTAGGGAAAGATGAATGAAGTAAATAAAGAATGCAAGATTTTTTCTTTTTTGCGCTCTTCGTCAGTCTTTTATCAAAGATGCATAAAGAATAAAAAGAAAAAAAGAAAGAAAAAAAAGACAATTATTTATGAATACTGCTTTATTCGAGTCATACATTTGATTACCTTTCATTTTCATTTGATGAGAGGAAACATTAATCGCAAGGTAATATAACTCTTAGTGTTCTCTTTCGGGTTTAGATGGTCATATAAGAGAGTTGATAGGATGAATAATAATGTCGTCGCAGTAATTTTATTATCTAATACAGGCCGGATAAAGTGCTGATACAAAAATGCAAAAGACGTCCTTTATTAAATCGTTGATATGTACCTCTTAGCACAGTGTATAAGAACTTCTTCACTGTTTCATCGAACATATCGGATCAAGCTGTCAGAGATAATGTAAAATCATCGAATATTTATCAATATTCACAGACAATTTGATATGAATTCAATATCAACCCACATAGTTCATCAACATTTAATTGGACTAAATCTTGATGAGCATGTATGTTAACATTCAACAGATTACTTCAGTTTTACATCATTTTTCATTCAAACTAATGCATATCTTTTTGAATCAATACATATTAAAAAATATACGTAAAGGGGAGATCCATAATAGATGGCGGGACTTTGCCTTTCATATTTTAATCTCGAAATAAGATTTACTAAGAAAACAAGATTATACCACAAAATGTAGCGTGAAAAGCTCTACAACAGAATTGTCACCGGTGGAAGATCCCTTACTGACTGACACAGATTTTTTCGAATTTTTGCATGTTTTTCTTTTTCAAAAAATTGATCATAGGAGTATTTTTATTTGCAAATCAAACCATTTTTACTGAGGTCAATGAGTGTTTTTCTATGAAAGAACGTGGATTAGAATCCAAGCAGACTTTGACAAGCACACGATGGGTGCAAATAGTAGTTAATAATTTGAAATATACTTTTTTCTCGTTCTGTTCCGATTTCGATCACTTGAAACGGTGTCCAGTCGAGTCTATGGTTTTTTTTAATTCAAATTGAATTTTGAATAAAAAATAACACCCCATTT